ATCAATTACAAACTGTTGGAAAAACAGGATTTGTACAAGCAATGGAGGATACCAGCAGCCCTACCTCACCCCTTCCCACCCAAACAAACCCCTTCTAGGTGAGTCCATTTCTTCTTGTTGGACACTTGTACTCATGGGTTTGGACGGACAAGATTTACCTTATTTCTTCCAAGCCTAAGGGAGAAAGAAGCCTTCCTCGGACAAACCAGGATTGGGAGACCAAAAGGAAAAGAAATGTATGGTGAAATCACTCAAAGCCTAGCTTTTGTTAAAGAGCAAGATACCCGTCAAGGTAGCTAAAGACTGTTTAATAGAAGAGACTAATGTCACTCCAAATTTACCAGTAGAAAGTCAATGCTTGGTGTGAAACTCCTGAGTTTATATGAAAGAAGGCACCTATCCTCTCTGCTTGTCATTCAGGAACCAACTTCCATGGTGAGTTTCCCCAAACTAAGTACATGTGTACTTGATTCTGCAGTTTTGAATTCTTCCTTTCCTTACCCTTCTTCTCAAACACAAGTTAAACCTCTCGTTCACCTTCCTTTGGGAAAATCCAATGAAAACAGCATATAGTGTTCAGCAGTGAGAAAAAGACAAAAGTTTGGTCTTTCTATGCCTTGCTCTTGCCACTATCCTGGGCAACTTCACCATCAGTGTGGACAACCCAACCACGAGTTGAGAATCACTGCTCCTTGACTTCCTCAACTGCCAGGGACCTTCACCTCCTCCTTTTTAGTCCCCCACACCTACAACCTGGACAATGTTATCACCTAGAGCTGCTTCGTGTCAGAACTCTTGAACTCTATTAACCTAGTCTTTGACCACAACCTCCTGTCTTTCTGCTGTCTCATGCCTTCCTTCACTCACACTCCATCTGCTTTTTATTTCAGAGATCTCTGGACCCTTGACACCCCATTTTCTCTAGACAGACAGCCTTTCATCAAAATTATCAATCCTTTGTAACTCAATCTTTCAATTGCACACACCAAGTAACTTACTCTCCCTATAAAAATATCTGTGGCTTATTGCTGAAGAAACTCAAAATACCCTGCAAACTGATGTTTCTCAATCCATAGCCTCCATCTTGCACTGCACAGTCATTAGTCCTTTCGCTTGTTCTCAGCTGGCATCTCTTCCTACCAAAACTGCCAGCACTTCCCTCAGGCCTGTACCACTTCCTCCCTCCCCATTCGATCCCTAACCTGTGCTTCCCAAGGACCTCTGTGACCTGGCCCCATCTACTTCTCCAGCCACCCCCAACCTCAAAACACCAAACTGCATACCATGGTTAAAAACATGGACTCCAGACCTAAGTTCAAGCTCTAATTTCAGTGTTTTATCATCTTGGGCAAGTCACATAACACCTCTGAACCTAAGATTTCTCTTCTATAAACTGAAGATTTATTTGTAACTTCTTGGCACAGTGCTGGGTACATGATACTTCCTCAATAAAGTTAGCTACTGCTATGATGCTGCTGCTTGAACTCCTCTGCCTGGAACGCCCTTTTCCCACCTTGCAAACTTCATCTGGCCAACAACTGACAATGCTCTTTTAAGATTCAATTCAGATGTCATTTTAAGGGAACCTTTCCGTGAGCCCCTACCCTGACCCCC